AAAGATAATAATAATAAATCGACTGCAATGTGAATGAGAAACTGCAACGTGCTATTATAGTACTACATTGCTCACAAAAATTAGGGGATAGTTCAAAATGGAGCGATACAAAAAAAGATAATAATAATAAATCGACTGCAATGTGAATGAGAAACTGCAACGTGCTACTATAGTACTACATTGCTCACAAAAATTAGGGGATAGTTCAAAATGGAGCGATACAAAAAAAGGATAATAATAATAAATCGACTGCAATGTGAATGAGAAACTGCAACGTGTTACTATAGTACTACATTGCTTACAAAAATTAGGGGATAATTCAAAATGAAGCGATACAAAAAAAGATAACAATAATAAATTGACTGCAATGTGAATGAGAAACTGCAACGTGCTACTATAGTACTATAGTATATTGCTCACAAAAATTAGGGGACAGTTCAAAATGAAGCGATACAAAAAAAGATAATAATAATAAATCGACTGCAATTTGAATGAGAAACTGCAACGTGCTACTATAGTACTACATTGCTCACAAAAATTAGGAAATAGTTCAAAATGAATATGAAGCGATACAAAAACAGAAGCATTTGATTTTTTTTACTTCATATTCACTTTGAAATACTCCTAATTTTTTGTGAGCAGTATACATACATTAGCAGCGTTACGTTACCGATCGCAATGAAAGTCCAAGGCGAAACAAAGGCTAAAAAATAGGAAACCAAAAATAGGAGCGTTCCCATTCGGGTACATCCGTCTTTGGCCATTTCTCACGAGTGTCCTGAGGCGCGAACCACTGTGGTCAACGATGTCCGGCGCGCGTGTTCAACTGGTGAAATCGCGCTCGTACAATTTCCACAGATAAAAAAGGGGAATGTACAAGTGCCGCGGAGACAACCACCTTACGTGCAAGAGAAAACCTGCAACGAAACACGCTTCAATTAACCCGGATGCTGGTCGTGGCCAGTATTACGTCTTCTCTCCTTTCTTCCTACATGTGTACATATTTTCCTCGCTCCCCTTTTTTATCTTTTTTTTTTTTCAAATACTTCTCGCTCAGCCATGATGTTTCAAACGAACCGGTTTTCCAGGATGAAGCCAACGATTTCTAGCGTTTCCCAAAAGACCGGGAAAGCGAACACACGGCCACGCGGGCGCACGTATTAGGTTATGGGGTCAACCGCGTTGGTTTAGTCCATTACGTTACGTTGAACCGCGTCGATCGTTTCGTTGTTGGCCCGTGGCCATCTCGGCGATGACGAAGAATCGCGATGGAGGAGGCTTTGCTGGAAACCATGGCAATTCCGTTCGCGAAATGTTCGTTCTTTCGGACGTGTTACTGTTACGCGATTTGAAACGCGATAGCTTTGCAGTATCTTGTTGCAGAGACGATTTTGGATGGATTTTTCGCGTGAATCATGTTGCTTGGAAACAACTGTTTTCGGTGTCGTTGGAATAGAATTTTTCAGTAAATTAATAACCAGATTATGTCGATGTCTTTTGCATTTGTTTTAAACTAAAAGTCATAACGTTATATCGTTATATTTCAATATTTCATAGATCGTATCTACACTTTTTTGTATCTTTTAAATATCGTAAGAAAAAAACAACAAATTCTTGAAATTTGATGCAACGAACAGTGCGAAGAAAACGTAAATTCTTCGAAGTACGTGAAAGATTACGGAGGAAAAATATCAACAAGTGAATAGTTACGATTCTCCAAATTCTCTTCCATAATCGAAAGATTGAACACCAAAATTGACTGCTACTAAATTACAACATTTTCTCACTGAAATAGTTGCAATCTCTTGAAGGGGAAACAAAGGGGAATTCTCATTGAAAGAAATTGCAGTCTCTCGAAAGAGAAACGAAAGCGCAACGGGGAACGACTCTTTCGAAAATTGATTCCCTCTTTCTTTCTTTCGCCGCGTGTTTTTGCTCTCGACGAAAAGAAAGAGAGAGAGAGACGATCTCGGTATCGATTTCTCATCGATCGCGACATCGACAGCCCGTCAGATGCGTTTAACGTTACTTTCCATTGTCTGTTTGCAGAGTTTACGCAACATGATGACAACTAATACGACGGATGCCTGTGAAACGCGCGATCCCTGCCAACACGGTGGAATCTGCATTTCCACCGACAGCGGACCCATCTGCGAGTGCCGGTCCGGCGATTATGAGGGCGCCTATTGTGAGAAAGGTGAGTTGTTTTACATGCAGAAGCATCGTTGCTGTTGTCGTTTGCTGTGCGCGGGCATACATTCTCGTTTCCGGAAACGGACGGACAGGTCGCCAGGTCGTCCGTCGCGCTGCTTCGATCTTGATCTTCGTCGAGCGAAGCTTTTGTGCCAGTTCGGAGTGCGATCCATTTTTGGGTAAATTTCGTTGGCCGATAGGACAACACGAAGTTGAAATTGTAGAAACTTAGACAGTTGTACTATAAGGAAGAAAGTATAATAGGAATACAGCGTGATATGAGGGGGTTTCTAAGTTTCAATTGTGTTACTGTCTGAGTAAATATTTTCGAAGATAAAATATATATTTTAAAATGAAGTATATATGTATAAAGTAAAGTATATATATTGAAGATAAAGTATATATTTTAAAATAAAGTATATATATAAAGTAAAGTATATATATTTCAAAATAAAGTATATATTTTTAAAAGACGAAATGAAGAAGATGTAAATCGAAAGTGATGATTATAAAGATATAAATATTTCTTAAAGATAAAGATTACAAAGAAGGTGAATATTTTGCAATTCTAAAGAAGATGTTTCCAGAGATTTTTTATCTTTTTGACAAGCGAAGTGAAATTTTAAAGTCGTCTAATATTTGAATATTCTTTTTTTTTCACAGTTTCACTGTTAAATAAAAACAGAGTAAAAGTACAATTATTATTTCATAATTGAATTAAAAAATTCTTCAATTTTTGTGCGTTCAAACGAATTAGTAAAATTCTTTCAATCGTTTGCACAAATTATTACAATTGTTGTAGATGTGATGATATATTCTAACGGATTATATCGAAAACACGGGCACTTTATTACTGCAAGCAGTGTCTGAACATTTGGATAACCATGCAATAATTGGCTGTAATTCAATCAATAGATAATAATTAATTGTTGTAGCGGTGTTATTAATAAACTATTATTAACAAACCAATACAGTTACATATAATCACAGATGATTCTACTCACTTAAAACCGTCCATATAATTATCCAAATTATATTTGTGAACACTGCCTCAACTGAGAATTAAGTTCAACGAATAACTTCGTTAATAATTAAGAAATTTTCACGTTCTCTTAGGATCAAATGAATGAGTTTCATTACCCGAGCTTGCGAAAATAAGATTATAGAAAATAGTATAGAAATGATTGAAGTTAGAATTAGAGAAACTTCAATGAAAATTCCAAGAAATTAAAAGCACACGCACATGCACAGACTGAGAAATTCATATGAAATCGTGCAATTTTATTTTCTCCTTCTTCCCGTGCGTTGTTTCAAAAATACGAAGCGTCGTTTAAAACATTCACGTATATCAAATTAAATGGATATATTTTAAAAGCAATTATTACAATGTTGCAACGTTCGATAATGACAACGTCTACAATTACGCGAGCATAGAACACGCGGAATGATAAAAACGCGCGCGATCCCGTTTAACGTATGCACGTTTCGATAACGGTGTTTTGTACGTCGAATATTTTAATAATAGAATTTTTCGCCGAACGATGAAGGTGTATGATTTATTATCAAACGGTCCGGTATCGCGGAAATATTTCGTGTTTCGCCCAGAACTGACGGAACAACTCGCGCATACAATCCAATTAATTGCGATACCGACACGACCTCTTTTCGCAATCAGCCTTTTACACCGCTACACTTTCCGCGCTGTTAATCCGTTAATGCCGTGCCAACTCGAGCTCTCCTAAAAACGATATCGATCACCGCCTCGTTGCCTCGTAACTCGCGGATGTCCGCCACACAACAGTCGAAAAATTTTAATTATTTTGCTCGGTACGCATGAAATTTCGTTTTTTCTTTTTTCTTTTTTTTGTTTCTCTGTTTCAAATAAAAATTGACAGTCTTGTCCCTCCGAATATATTTTCAATCGAGTAATTTTCATCGTGCGTTTCGTTCAAAGTAATTTCTGCTGGATTTTTGTTATTTTAGATTTAGTCGCGTAAATGATATTACACAGAATAGTACAAAAAGGACATAAGGATATAAAAAAGTATAAGAAGTAATACAAATTTTCAACGTGAATTTCAAATTTCAAATTTCATTTACTCTGTAGTAGAAATTTCTTAAAGTTCAATTGCATATAAAGGGTAGGTAGACTTTGTTTCTGATTTACTGAATAAGTACTGTTCAGTCAATTTTTATAATACTCTAAATATTACGTGCAACATGGTGAAACTAAATTGGTTTCATATTTTTTTTTTTTTTTCGAATTAATTACAGTGAAAATATGATAAAATACAAATAAATATTAAAACTTGAAACTGTACTAATAAACATATATTAAAATTTAAAGTTTTTACATTAAAGAAGGTCATAGAAAAAAATGAACAGTCCGAAAGTGCAGGATTTATGGACTAAAAAATTTGATAATATACCCGACATCTCTTTTTATAATTACTTTCGGATCCTCTTAATATTATTTCATACACTGCATAATACTGCTGAATAATTCAGATTCAATAAAAAGGAAATTAATCTCCGTTTCATTTTAATCTATTTATTTGCGTCGCGATAAAAAGGAAATTAGAAAAGTTAATAGCAATGACATCGTTCGCCAAAGGAGATTCGTATATAACGTGTGTGTAATGAAATATCGACAGAGAAAGAGAGAGAGAGAGAGAGAGAGAGAAAGAGAGAGAATTTCGTTTTACCTTTAATCGTTGAACCACGTCGAGAATAATAATTTCGTTCTACGATATTACCAGTGAACTTTGACTTTTGCCGCGCACGCTATTAACCGCATGAAGCATAGGGTGTTTTATTCATTGAAGAACGATAAAATATCACGGGCGTGTTCCTATCGCGCGGCGATAAAATTCATGGTATAAATTTTAGGGAGAATTTCGTGAGAAGATAAAGAGCGTGATTTCAAAAGAACATAATAGCCTCGCCAGGAGACTTTCGAACAGAGTCTAATCAGAGCAAATCGTTCTTTTCAGCGATGATGCAGGCGTTTGCTTTGTCGATCTTCGTTTCATCGAAAGTGTCGCTAATTGAGAATGAATTATTAAAATTTCTCGGCGTAGAATTCAATTGGGAATTGAGCTGAATTGTAAAGAGGAATGAGTGATTAATACGATCGATAGTTATTTATTCGTTCTTGCTCTTTCGAACTGAATTCGGTTTTCTGTCTTATTCCTCTCGACATTTTATACGATTTGTCTAGATTGATTAACTGTGTGTCTGACATGTGGCATAAAATTAATTGTTAAAAATGATCAAAATATATCTCTCTTTCCAATAGTGATTGTTTTATTAAAAAGTGTAGCTTAAAGTTTATAATTCTTACGTCATGATACAAGATTTTTTTTCCGTATCAAAATTAAATTTACTACAGCCGTTCTTATATTGAATTAAAAATTTAACAGCGTGTATTTTAACAGATTTCGTATCGATAGAAAAATAAAAATACGCTGTTCTCATTCAATCATTAGTCACGTGACGATATATTATCTGTCTTTATATTTCTATTAAATACCGTTATGATATTAAATTTTTAATAATAAAACATCAATGCTGAACGTGATTATTTTTTAATATATTTTTTATTTATTTTTCAAAATTCGAACAGTGACTTCCTTAAAAATCAGCGTCCAAGTGAATCATTTTCGAAAGTTAAACAAACTATTTAATCTCAGATTCCTAAAGTGAAATGTTTCTGACCAAGGCTGTGGATATTTTTATGTAAAATACGTAAGTTAATTATTCGATTAAAACTGAAGTACGGAGAAAACGTATTTTCTTACAGATGTTACATTTACGTAGGACTGCAAAATACTCGCTACAGTATTCAACGTGTTGGAATTTCTATTTAGATTCTCGCAGTTCGCAAATTCCGCGAAATTTAAATAAACACCGGCGATTTAATCACCACTTAGCAGAGATTACGGCCGATTTAATTCACGCTCGCGAGTCGCTCAAAAGACACGCAGTTTTTTCCTCTGCTCTGTGAAAAAGCTCGGAGGAATGCAGGATCACGTTCCGACAAATTTAAAAGATCGGCCGTTCCGCCAGACGAGAAATTTCATGTTTCTCCGCAGACGAGCATCGTCTGGGATTTACTTTAATTGCGATTTACTATGCGAAGTGAAACTCCGTGGCTCACGGTGCACTTACATTCGTGCTAACGTTGTCGAATGCTTCCAAATCGACGCGTTTTCCACTTTGTCGGACGTTTGTTTTCGTCCTGAAACAGGCTGCTCGTCTATTGTAAACCCTCTCGTTGCAATATGTTTGAACAAATCTCGAATTTTTATCCTTGGCGATGAATTTTTATGACATTCCACGATGCACGAATGATTCTTGAAAAAGAAGGTCCAGCTTCTTTCATGATAGAGTTGCAGAGGGTTGAATTTTATTTGAATGCATGTTTGATGAGTTTGTTTTGATAATAAAAATGCCATAGCTCTTTTCTTTCTCCTCTCATTTTTCAGTTTCTTGAATTTCTTATTTTTCCTAATTTACACAATTTAAATTTCAAAAAATTTGTTTCAATTCAATCGTCATCCGTGGTCTATCGACGACTGCAATTTGGGATTAAATTAATTTAATCTTAGAATTTTTAATTCACCCGAGCAATTTGAATAATTTAATTTTTAATTTATTCGAACGTTGGGAAATTATTCTACATTTTAATAATTTTACATAAATTACGTCTATAAGTTCTCGCTTTATGAAGTACGCGGCTCAATTCAACGAATTTCCCTTTTCGTAAATTCTTTTTACAAAAATCGTAAGGTTTTAATTTCGCTTGTTTGCACTTAATAATTAACTCGTGAGTGAGTGAATTACAATTTGTTTCCGTTTCGTTCAACTCGCAATGCAACGATGGGGTGTCGATCGTTAAAATTAACAGTAGTTACATCGATCGAGGATTGGCAAACTTAATAGAGGGTTCGCAGCGAATGAAATAGAGAAATTAAAAGTTGTAAAACACATTGTGATAACGGA